TGAATTTTTGTTTGAAGACCACAATTTATATTTGCAGCTTTCATATCACAAACCAAAATTAGTTTAACTCCATTTGCATTAATCAGTGACCAGATTTGTTCAATATTGGAGTGTGTTTCTGGCAAATCTTCTGAAACTCCAACAATAATTTGTCTCTTGACTCCAGTGTCTATACCAGTCCTTTGAGTGAGAAGTTGTTGTTGTTGCGGTGAGCTGGTTTTACCCCTTAACGCAGTATCAATAATGCTTAGGCAAAACTGGAGAAAATTTTTTCCACCAATAACTCCGAGCTTAACAAAATAGCCACCAGAAATTTTTGCGGGGCTGAATAACATAATTCACAAGACTAAGTACATATATCACAAGATAAATCATTGCAGTGAGCAACAACATGAACTGTACAAGAATCTATTTTTTTGTCGGTGATTTTTAAGTCGCTGCAGGTCAAGAAATCGCTCAATTGTTGACCTAGTCTTAGAAAATTTATGTAAAAATTTTGCTCTACCATCTTGCTGCTCGATATTTTGTTTACAATTCTAACAAGTTTCTTTAATCTGTTGTTTGACAGGCCCGTATTTAATTGCACATTTACAGGGGCTACAGTGGTCAATTTCGGAGCACTTGATGCTGTCTGCGCACTACTTTGACCAAAACCAAAGCATACATATTTTATAGTTATAATAAACTTTGTTTAGAAAGTTTGTGTAAAACTTTCAAACTATTTGTTTTTAAAGAAATTAGAAACTTGTCAAAAATATACTTCTTGAAATCTATCTAGTGTTATTTCTTAATAGTCAAGACTTTATTTCAATATATATGTTAAAATTATTTAAGTATAAATTTTTACCAGGGGTAACTGTAAGTGGAGGACCACCGGATGCTTTGGTGAGCATTGGTGGGGAAAACCTTTTTCCTAAAAAGGTATTTGCTGCAACGCACCTTTGGTTTTTTCTCAATAGTGGTTTGCTCTATAAGAGGATTTTTTTTTTAGGCTTTGAACGACAATTTCGGCATATTAGGCATTAACACGTCATGCCTCTTGTTTCAGGTTTCACTTGTATTGACTTAAAACTAAACAAAGGGGGGAGTGCAACTTCTTTCCCCTCTTATTTCCTGCGCAACGTAATTTTACACGATTCGCAGAATCTTTTTGCTAACCGAGTATCACTGATATTGATCTTGGTCTAGCACAGTTGGCATATTCGATCTGCCTAAAAAGTAGTAAGCTGTCTTAAACATTTTTTCAGGCAGAGCAAGCACACAAACTTTCGATTTTCATCATGATTCTTGGCATTGTGGCAACTCACTAAGTTTGACTTCACTAAATCAAACTCTGTCTTTTACATAATTTGATCTAGATTTATATTTGATATCAATCCACTTAACATAGTAACATATTATTAATTAAAAACTTTTAAAATAAAGGAAACATTTACTTGATTTAATTGAGGTTATATTAAATTACAAGGAAATAATTCTTGAATAGTTCTTTCCTTACCAGGAAACAGTTGTTTAAACTATTTACTTGTAAGGAAATTACATTATTGATAATTGTCACACTTATTAAACTATTGATACTTGTAACACGGGTTATTTTATTTCAAAACAACCCTTCAACTTAACTATTTATTCAGTTAGAGTAATTTTCCTCTGACTGGCCCTCCAAGCTTTGTATTGGTATATATTTTAGTTAATTTATCTAAATTTTTTAAGTCATTTTGTCAATATAAAAAATATTTTGTTTTTTCTCAGTTGTTCTGTTTTCAGATAAATAAATATTTTTATTTTCTATGTACGTATCCCTAGAAATCCTTCTTAAACATTTTTTTAGAATTTTTTTGCATTCTGGCAGTAGTTTATACCTTAAGAAATGTTGGTATATTTTATCAAAGCATACATGGCCGTCAAGGAAGCCATGGCCTGGCCACTTTTTTTTTGCAAGGACCTTTTGTTTTAGAAATATAGGCAATTATTTTAGAAATTATGGATTTTATTTTAGAAATTGAGGGGTTGACCCCCTCCACTTTGACGACCGTGTCAACGCCATTGGCATAAGCCAATTCAAATCACGCTTTAAGTAGCAAATCACTATTTTGGTCTATAAAATGAAAACTGTACATGGACCGATAAAATAATTATAACAAAAATTGTTAATATTACATAGTTGAACACTCATGTAACCGTTATTTTAAAAATAGTGACCGAATTTAAAAGTAATCGGTAACGTTTTGAGGTATAAGTAGCAAAAAACTGACAAAGCTTTAACTAAAACTGCAATAAATCCTACACCAGTCATCCAATCAGGCTGAAATTTTGTCCAGAGTTTGGTGTGACTATTGGCTACATTTTAACCAATTTTTATGAAATCATATTGAGTGGTTCAAATTCTACAAGTGTTTTTATTGGCGCACTATGAAGTCAAAATTTGACTTAATTTGAACATTCAAATTAATTTTTATTCCACGGACAAAATTAAATGATTTCAAAATTTGCATCACAGGGTACCTTGATGTGTACGCTAACTTTCCGTATAAGTGGCGTTCTTGTGACAGCTAGGTAGGCATTATAAGGATCCGTGCTAACCGTGAAAACAACTATAATTCTTACAATGGTTTCTACGCAACCTTGATCGTGATTGTATTGCTATAACAGTCTAAAACTATAATTAGGAAATCCGCTAAATATTAACAACTATAATGATTATAAAGTGGTATTGCTTTACTTACTAACTAAAACAGTATTGCAAGATTCTCTCTAATCATGGTTTTTACATTACTTATTAAACTTAAAACTGCTTAAACAACTTTCAGACTCACAGTTGGCAGTTTTTGAGGATTTACTCATTTTAACACTAGAATTGCGCTTGATACATGCATAAACATATTTATGTGTATGTTTGTATATATATATAGTTTGTATATCTCTCTCTCTCTCTCTCTCTCTCTATATATATATATATATATATATGCATAAACATATTTATGTGTATGTTTGTATATATATATAGTTTGTATATCTCTCTCTCTCTCTCTCTCTCTATATATATATATATATATATATATATATATTTTATATATATATATATATATATATATATATATATATATATATATATATATATATATATATATATATATATATATATATATATATATATATATATATATATATATATATATATATATATAATATAAAATATATATATATATATTTCTTTTGTACTTTGTACTATTTCTTAAACGCACAAGAGTATTTGTATTATTATTATTATACCATAATAATACACTTTCTATTTTGTATAATATATATATATATATATATATATATATATATATATATATATATATATATATATATATAGAGAGAGAGAGAGAGAGAGAGAGAGAAAAAGAGAGAGTGGCGTAAAAAACCCCCCTCAATTTGAGGGGGTTGCAAACTTTATATGCTCATAATTTTTGAACACTAAAATATTTTATTATGAAATTTTAAATTTCTCTATGGATATAAGTCTAGTTGAAAACATATTTTCATATATATTGTACTATAGTACAAAAAATATTTCATCAACTTTGTTGTTCTCACGTTTGGGGCAGGGGGAGGAAGATTTTAGGGTTTCTTGCTCCTATTCTCCTATCACAGTAATTTTTTTTTAAAACAACATTTTCGTCATACTTATGAACGTAAAAAAGTTTGGATATTCTTGTTGTTTATAAATTGATTATTTCAATTATTTAAAAACCTTCCTACGCCACTATATGTATATATATATATATATATATATATATATATATATATATATATATATATATATATATATATATATATATATATATATAAATTAGTAGAAAATCACTTAACAAAATTTTTTTTATTTTACACTGTGTTTCATCAACAAAGACTCATCAGAAATCTGATGAAACACAGTGTAAAATGAAAAAAATTTTTGTTAAGTGATTTTCTACTAATTTGTAATTGCTCTGTTCTTTTAAGAACATTGAGCACTTTATTTTGTAGAATACATTTTTTAAAAAATTGTTTAAATACATATATATATATATATATATATATATATATATATATATATATATATATATATATATATATATATATATATATATATATATATATATATATATATATATATATATATATATATATATATATATATATATATATATATATATATATATATATATATAAGCTACATTGGTTAAAAAAAATTCTTTAAAAATATAATTTTTTAAGCGCAAATGTTTTATTTTAGTATAACTTAGTATTATTTATTATTATATGTATTAGTATTATTTAAACAAATTTAAGTAAAGTTTTCGTCATTTCTTTATTTAGAAATATTGTAATGAAATTTCGATTAAAAAAAAATAATAATAATAAAAAAAGTCACTTTATTTACAAGAAAGTTGTTAAAGGATTAATACTACTGTCGTTGTTCCGAGTCGGAGTGCGTCAGTGCTTTGGAATTCTCTACCGTTATTATGTTTTCCCGACTCATACATATACAGTTTTTTAAGTCTTCTGTTAACCATTTTCTTGTTCCTAAACTCTTTTCTTTGTTTTGCCTTAACTTCCAACTTGGTCAGTGTTTGCTTGCAGCCTTAGTAAATTTTTTTGAAGAAAAGATAAAAACTACGACAACTACGTAACTGCATTTAATTTCCTACGACAACAGCGTAAACATTTAATTTCCTAGCTTAAATAAACTCTACGGTGGTCAAATGAAAACGATATAACAATATAAACAATAACTAAAAGAAGTTAACTCAGGGTAATTAACTAATAAAGGTAATAATGCGACAATTGTACAAAATGTAAATAAAAATAAAAGTAAGTTATAAACGACAACAAAAACCAAATAAATAAAATAAACGTTAAATTTAAGTTTAGTTTATTTTCAGCGTGCGCTTTTAATTTAATTGTCATTTTATGCTGAATAATTTGTTTATATTATCATAATAGTTATGTGGTTCTAATAACATCGACTATTTATATTAAATATAATATCAGGTAACATGATTTTTTATTGATTATTTATATATGAAAGCTTTGATAAATGTTAGGGATATTCATAAAACGGTTTATACAATTCACTACCTTGACAACTTAACATTAAAGTTTAAATTATCATAACTTAGATATGTGCTAGATGGCTATGCAACGCAACGTTTTTAAATGTATTTTTTTTACTAATATATTTTTAAATTTTATATTTTAGGTTTTGCTGAAAAATTAGCACTCAATAAATTGTATAGTATAGAGTCTATACGATTACTGATTTCTTTGCAATCACTCTAAAGTAATTGCATAGAAATCAACATAATACAATATGTTTTATTTTATGTTGAAACTTTTTTTACAATTAAGCTGTTATTGTAAAGATTCATAAATATATTTACTACATGTAAGCAGCAGCAGTACAAATTTCATATTAAAAGGAATCAGTGCAAAACTCCAAGAACTATCAGAAACTACATTAAAAATTAGGATTGTTAGAGTTTAACAACAAAACCGTTATTTGCATGTGTATGTGAACTTGGCCAACTACAATACCATGGCTAATAAGCCATAAATATTATTATATTTTGATGAAACATTAACAGTATAATTTGTCATGGAAATACTATAATATAAAAAAAACAAATATAATAATACAAGTAGTTTTGTAATGTTGCCACACATTCTTTAAATATAATATCTTTAAAGATATTTTTTTTGGTTAAGGCAACAATAATAAGATATTCATAATTGACATAATGTAGTTTTTATTCTTTTTTAACAACATTTAGTTCTTTGACTACAAATGTAAAGGTTTTTTTTAACCAAATTTTTCTTTTTAAAAACTTAAATATTACCTTTATAATTGGCGATTTATTATTATTACATTCTTTTATCAATGTTATCAATGCAGCTGTCATAACATAACTTGTTTCAAACTTTAAAGCTGTCATAACATAACTTGTTTCAATGCTTGAATTTTTGCTGTCTTGTAGAGTTCTCGAAAAAGTTAACTCTTACCATATGCAACCACAAGTCTTCTAAAAAGTTTTTACAAGAAAAAAACAGCCAAAAAGTAAAAATGAGTAGTAAAAATAAACCAATTGTTGACCTGGCCATAAATGGTACTGTGCCAAAAGAAATCCAAGATGCTAAACAAGCCTCTAAGTACTGTCTACATTGTGGTTAAACACTCTAAGTGAGTGTTTGCACACCATTAGAAACATGTCAGATATAATATTAAGGCAAATTCAAGAGCCAGGATTAAGAAACACCTGGTTTCCCAAATTGTCAAAAAAAAAAGGTTTGAAAGATCAAAGAAAATTCTGAGCCTCTTGAAGAAAAGACCAACGACTATCCTTTTTTCAGGTGAGATGTTTACTGTTAATTATATGTCAAACAGCGGAACCAATCATCTTATTAGTCATTAACCTGTCCAAGCAGTCCCAGAACATGTAAGTGTACATTCAAGACCAAACATTCAGCTTCAGTTTGATGTTTGACTTGGTTTCATCTGATGGTCTCTAAATACCTCCGGTTTTCATCAAATCTGGTCAGATAGTTGACACCAGTAAGTACATTTGAAGCCTGGAGGACAATGTTAAGCCTTGGATTGATGCACACTACTCTCAAGACAACAATGTTGTGTTTTATTTAATTTGTCCTCTCTCAGCATCAATCACGCTTACCTTGAAGCGTGATTGATGCTGAGAGAGTACATATTAAATAAAAATGTATTAAATGTCTTCCTGAATACCTCTTGATATTTATTTTAGCTTCAAGTTTTCATTCTGCATTAAATTTGGTCAAAAAATAATTTTTTTATGAAATTTGCAATCATATACAGTATAATTTATTTTTAAATTTTATTTTTAATCTGGTTCACTCTCAACAAGACTGCAAGCAACCACTATTTAGTTGAGACTGCAAGCAACCACTATTTAGTTAGAAAAAAAAAATAGAGTTAAAGATCAAGGAAACAGTTAATAAAAGACTAAATGTTGTTGGTTGTATGAATCATTGAAAGCAGGTTTTATGAGTCAGGAAAACAAGAGAGAGAGTTCCAAAGGGTTTAAGTGCAGGGAAAAAAACTAGATGAGTAAAAGTTTTAAGAATATGCAGGGGCAGATACAGTAAAAGAATGCTAGAATGTAAGCTAATGATGAGTCAAGGATGATGAAATTTAGTTGATGGAACTAGAAATAATCATTCTTGGAGCTCCCCCGTGTAGGATTAACAGTTATCTTCTTCAAAGTTTGTTCTTCACCTAGTGTTTGGAAGGTACTGACCATCAGATGTCAGACATTATTTTGCCTCACACTAAGCTATCAGAAACTTCCTGCCCTTTTGAATGCTAATTATCTTTCATGTCCACATCAGCAATATCAAAAAGATTCTCTAAGCCATCCTCCAATCTTTTTCCTTTTTCAGTAGACTTTTTAGAGAGTTCTGCTTTATTTTCCTTATTTTTCTTCAGTTGGTCATATTCATGGAACATAAATTCAACTTTTTTAACATCTTCAATTGTGTCAGGATTAAGACTTTAGCTCACACTTCAAGAATGTTATTATTTGTTAAATGTGATGCTTTTGTTGGGTAGCCTTGTTGTAAGAGAAGAATAATGCCATGACTTTCTTCTTTGACAGTAACTTTGTAGAGCTTACAATTTCAGACATCAGCCACTACTCAGTTTCTTGTCTTGTAGTTGTTTTTAAAGTCCTACAGCTAGCATTAGCCAACTGCTTTGAAATAATAAATTGTATTTGTTACCATCCAGTTTAATTGTTTACATTAATTATAATTTCTACCAAAGCTATAGAACTATAATCTAACTGTCACTTTTTATATGTTATATATTATGCACCACAGTATATTCTACATATACCAATGAAATTAAATTAAGGTCTGGCAACTTTTCATGTCCTTTAATTACTTGTTTATAGAAAAACAACAGTAACATTACCAAAACTTTGAAATGGTATAGCACCAATTAATAAAAAATATGCAATTCTTTGCATAAATAAATAGATAAGTTCATAATAATATTATTATAACACTCAGGCACTTAATAGTAATTAATAATTAAAAATGGATTTCTGTGCAGCGTATCTGTCATTCTATCTGTTTTATGACTTGTAATTAAATGAATATAATTAGGTAAATTAACATTTAAGTAAAAAAAAACAAACAAAGAAAAAATATACTTTTGTTCCAGTATCCACCAGGTCGTGGAACTTTCCCTGAGAAAGAGTCAGTAGTTAATACAAGGCATTAATTTAGATTAATGAATTATTATTGCTGATAGGTGGTGAAATGCATTCTGGAAATCCTAACAATAAATATATAACATCATATTGATAAAATATGCAGGCAGTATGGTATGTAGTAAAAGTTCACCAGCATAACAACTAGTGAAATGCAGCCACAGAACCCCACAAGATACTTAACTAGTATATATGGTAGGAACATTGTTTTCAGATATAGCTGAGTTTTTTGTGAATTTTTTATGTATGCTTTTAAGCAAAATTCAAGGGTGCCTCATGCAAAAAACATTCTTTGAAAATTAAGAAACACCCTAGTCAGTAGTGAACAATAATCCAAGAAGATGTATAAAAGAGGACTCAGTGAGAGGTTGTAGTTCATCAATATAGGAATATCAATGGTATTGTGATAGTTGTTTGCATTAAATAACTGAGTTTATTTGGTGTTAAAATTCAAAAACCACTGCAAGCCCTAATCTGTTACAGTAGTGAAATCAGATTCAAGATTAACTGCCTGTTCTAAGCTATTAAAAAGAAAAGACATTTGTAAAGACAGGAGTATTAAGTTTAGTCATCAAGGAAAAGATATACTTTAGATCTAAGTCAGGAAGATCATTATGATAAATAAGAAATGAAACAGGACCAAGGATAGAACCTATGGAAAACCCCAGAACTTAAAATGAAGAAGAGTGTTGGCCTTTGAGGATGACTTTAATAAGCTGGTTAGAAAGAAATAATTTGATAATCTCAAAAACTTACCCAGATAGACCATATAATGGAGGCTTATGGCCCTAAGATTTTATTGTGTGTTAGATGAAGGCAGCAAGGCCCTAGCCTTGCTGCCTTCATCTAACACACAATAAAATCTTTCAGTCACAGCAGTTAGCAAGTAAGCCATAGAGCGAGAGGATCAAAAACCATATTGATTGTCTGAATGTAAGTTATTTGACTCAAAATGAGATGTTAAAAAGTTAAAGCGTCAGAATTATCTCCAGAGTTTTTTAAAAATTAAAACCACAAATGCCATTTTCCAGCAGGTAGGAAAACGAGAGTCAGTCAAACACTTATTAAATAGGAAATTAAATAGTTTTACAGAAATTTTCGCCAGAAAATTTCTGTATGACTATGACTGTAATGCTGTCAACAAACCATAGAAGAGTGTAATTGACTTTAAATGACTTTTGAGTTTAATTGACTTTAAATGACTTTAGCAACGGAAGCTGGAGTGATTTGAATGTCTAACAATGGGTTAACCTGTTTAATTGGAATGGAAAAAAGAGTTTGACCATGAGATTTAAGAGTGGATTTTCCAAAAGACTTGAGATCCTAACTTCTGAGATACAAGATTTAGTGAACTGAGAATAATGGAGCTTAGAATCTAATAGCACCTTTTTAAATTGATTTCGTACAATAATAAATTGTGGTCTATTCTCAAGAGAGTTGTTTTTTTGAAAAAGATAAAAAAATTATTTACAATTAGATATAGCAGCTGCACAAGTAGTTAAAAACTATTGAGTAGAATGACTTGAAATTGATAAGAAGGAATAAAAACTTCCATTCCTGCCACAATCACAAAAAGAATCCAAGTCAGTTTTAGGGTAGTAGTAAGTAGTACAATAATAAGGTTATTCCAAAAAAGATGTACAAGATAAAATGTTTATAGAGATTGCATTACATGGTCAGAACCACCTAATGGATTTTTCATAAAGAGAAACTGAACACAATCTAGGGTCAGAGACAAAACACAAATCA